GAGTGTTAGTATGCGTGTGTTTATATGCGTGTATGTGTGTGTGTGTATGTGTGTGTGTGTGTGTGTGAGAGAGAGTGTGTGTGTGTATGTGTGTGTGTGTGTGTGTGTGTGTGTGTGTGTGTGTGTGTGTGTGTGTATGAAAGTCGTTACCAGTCATAAGCATTTATAATACCACCTATTACAAACCGCTAACAAAGCAAACTGTAACCCGATCGAGCTTCTGTGTGTATTGTTGTTATTGGTGATGGCTCTCTATGTCATATACAGGGTGATCCAAAAAAACTATACGACTTTTTTCGTAAATATTTTCCCCCACACTGAAGCTTTCGTCTTGAAATTTGAACACAATATTCCTCATTCAAAAGGAATTTGACTGATATTCATTTTTGATGATTCCACTAAATATTTCTTCAGTATATTGCGCATAAAAAACAACCCATTTTTTGCTTTTGTCCCCTTTTATTACACTACGCTCCAGTACGCATTACCACAAAATGTAATAAATTCTAGACGGAGCTGGGGAGACACCGGCACTTGGATGGCCAAGACCAGTTGTTAATTCAAGATGGGGCCAATCCACACGTTTCTGTCAGATCAATGACATGGTTAGCTGAGCACTTTGGAGACCATGTGATCAGTCGCAGAAGTGAACCCATTTGGGCTCTGCATTCTCTTGACCTGAATCCTTTCGACTTTTTCTTGTGGGGCTGTCTGAAGGACAGGATATTTCAAAACCAGTTTGAAAACATTGAAATTATGAAACAAGCAATCCGTGACGAAGTGAGAAACATTCCGCGGGAACTGTGTTTGACCGTCATCGAGCATTTCAAACGACGCGTTAAAAGGAGGATATGTGGAGCATTTGTTTTAGAAATTCCAGAACAAAAATGTTAGTTCTTTAACTCCCTAAGAAAAGTTAAATATTGTTTAATGTCACAAGGTCGGAACAATTAAATGTTTTAGAGAAAAAGAAGACAAAAATCAAATCAATCGTCTCATGACTTTCCTTGTGAGAGTGTCTTTTTAAAAAAATTGGCGCATTTTGCGTTTATGGCGTTTTTTTTGGGTTCTTTATGCTTTTTCCGTTCTGAAAATAAGTTTCTTCTGTATGAATTTTATGTCAAACAAATTCCTTTTGAATGAAGTTTATCTGTTCCAAATTTCATCTTTCTAGAACAATATTTGCGCGAGATATTTAGAAAAAAAGTTGTAAAGTATTTTTTGGATCACCCTGTACATGATACAAAACCATCAACCGAGATGACCAAATTGGCATTCATTGTGAGTAAGAAAACAGCCCTGTCTACTCAGCAACAATAGCAACAACAACAACAGCAACAACAACGACAACAACAACGACAACAACAAAGATAACAAAAAGCAACAAAGCACCAGCAACAACAACACATGCAGTAAAAAGAATTTTGTTTAATAGTATCATACTTGCTGCAGCTTCGCTTCAATATTAACAATAAACACCCACACATCCACACCCCCCCACACACACACTCACACACACACATACACACGCACACAAAGCACTGTGGCATTCAAACACGTCTTTCCTTTTATGGTTACAGAAACCGAAATTTGAAAAAATTACTTTTCATACTTTTAACTTTTACTTTTATATAGGTTTAAATAAACATTAGATGCAATGTTTAAACTATTTGCTCATCGTCTAACCATTTTTTTTACTTATCTGTCTACAAGACCGACTTTGCTTCACATGGAGAGAAAAGTCTTCACCACAAGAGTATGGCGCAGGTAAAATCATGGTGCTTTACAACCACACAAATATGACGGAAACTGTAGCTTGCATAATCCAATGTGAATGTACGGATTCTCATCTTTACCCAAGGTGTACACAGTTGTGGAATCTAAATTTTGTGCAAGTACATGTACATGAAAAACAATGAGGCGAGAGTAACTATTTTCATTTCTATGTTTGTAGTTGAATTGCGCTATTGCGAAACACAATAGATCTACATCAGTTACGTGTAACTCTACAGACTTCAACAAAAGTTAAGGACCATCTTGACAGACAGCTCTGATTTTTTTTTAAATCGGGAAAAAAGACAGCTAGGAATGTTTAAAAAATTCTTTACTCTGACAGTGTTAATGGGTTACCAGTGCGTACTATAAAGTTTCCTAAAGAGGCTAAACCACCACGTGCAGCACGGAAATCCTCGAGGAATTTTAGTCAAATTTGCCGTTTAAAAAAAATTGACTTGCGGGCGACACCACGGACATTCCTCGGTTAAAAATTTCTCGTGCACGTGATAAACGGACGTACGGTCTTGAACTGTGCTCACTTTGGTGGCAATATAATTATGCCGCCGTTTGCGCAAAATCCAATATCGCATCACCATGCCACCGAGACGAAAGCTGAGAGACTTCGATCGTGCCAGAACTATAGCATGGTTGCAGGATGGTGTTGGAGCCCTAGAAGCTGCCAGAAGGCTTGCAGTGTCACACTTTGTCATTGTCCGCCTGAGGGTGCGCCATCAAGCCTCTGGATCAGTCCAAGAACGCCCATGTGCAGGTCGACCCAAGAAGACCACTCAGAGTGTTTGCAAGTGGTCCTTAACATATGATGTTGAAGTCTGTATATTTAAGTGAAATGGGGTGAAAAATATACACTGCAGGCCTGCAGTTGTAACAGCCCAGAGCACGTCTTCAGTAGTACCAAGCTAGCTGTAGACAAGACGGTTGTTTGATTTCCTGCTTCAGAATATTATGTCAGAGGCTTTGTGCAATTCTAGATTTGTCGTCCTACCCCCCCCCTCCCT